AGTCAATCAGCAGCATGGGGGAACCTCACCACAAAAACCCATGAAAACGGTGGGACGTGTTGCAATCAGACCACAGATTGTCCCCTGCCGCCTCGATTTTGGTAGATTAAAGATCACTATCTACCAAACCAGAGCTGTCCAACTGCTGGACCATGGGCTGCATGTGGCCCATAGGAGTCCAGCAGGTAGCCTGTAGTGCACAAGTGTCATGGGTAGCTAACATATGGATGAAGAGGCCTGGCAGCCCCTTGTGCCAGTGTCTCCCAGTGCCTCATGGTGGAGAATAGCTCACATGATGGGAGGTGGGGTCCACATGCAGTCAATGCAGCCTGAGCAGTGGTGGGGATCCTGGGTGTGGCTGCCCCCACAGCATGCAGCCTAATTGGTGTGTGTCCCACGGGCTGCGTGCAGGCACCACATGTGGCCCCCCAGCCATATCAAAGTGTCAAAGTTGAGCAGCTCTGAAGTAAGTTAACTTTGAGTATTTTCTGTACCTATAATGTATTCTATTTGCACAGACAAGTGCCACCATTATCAAAAATAACAAGGGATTCAGAATCCTTTACTTTTTAAAAACTCAACTGAGACAATTTAAAATGTTTCCATTTTTACCAAATATTAACTATTTATCATTGTGGAGGATAATTTTGTACCCACAATAACTTGCAATGGATTGGACAGCTGTAAAAGCTACAGTGTGCTAATATGAGTAGCTTTAAATCTTCTCTTACCAAGATTACTGCCTTTGCTTTAAAGGTAACCACTTTCCGATGTGGTCCTCAGCAACAATGGCAACAACATCAAAATATCCCCCAACTAATCTATTTTAGCCTATTGATCATTGCAATTTCTGATTAATGTTATTGTGTCATTAATTAAATGGCTACCATGTCTGTCAAGCAAATAGTTTTCACATAAAGTAGATAATCACCTCAACTTGATTCAAATTAGAATAAAATACAGGTAAATTGTCGAATTATTTAATTACTGGAAATCAAACAATCAAATGCAACAGAGCACATTTTATTTTTATGAACAAGTCATTGCTCTTTGGTTCATTTAGGAGAAGGCAGTTAAGGATTTTGCTTTCAATTTCCTATTTACTTTTCAGAGATTAAATTAATCCTTACATTTAAATATGTTTGCACCTTACATTAATTTAAGATTATTTCTTCTTTACCACTTGTTGAAGCTGTGTAGCATTTCAGATTTCAGGAAATGTTTTTCAGGTGATTAATATTTTTCCCAATAAAGTAAACAAGACATTGTGTCCCAAATGCACTATGTATTAGAGAGGCATTCAGATCATCAGATAAGCTAAAAATAACCTTTTTTCTTCAAGTCTTCCTTGCTTTCTCCCTGCATTATGCTGACATTGCTGCTGCCAAAGACAACACTGAACCATGAAGCTGATAGAGAAGAGTATGTGTAAGTTGTTGTGTAATTACTATAATTTAAAGGAATGTAAATGATTTAGTTAGGTCTACATTTATTTTGCAAAAATATAACAGAGCCAGTTCTTGCATATTATTTCCATGTCCTGATACACACACAGAAGTGCCATGGAATGAAAAGGGTTTTTTAGTGTGTTATTAGAATGCTTTTGTATAAAATATTGAAGGTCAAATCCACATGGTCTCAATAGGGCATAAGAGGGATTTAACTCCTGCCTATGGAGCAATTCAAATTGGCCTACTGCCAGTACATAAAAACCTGTTATGCACCAAAATCCACCATGCGCCTCCCTTTGTCCCCAAGTGACCACACTTAAGTGCACGTGTCCGCACAGAAGCAATGTAGAACATGCACTTCAGTGGCTTGCTTCTGCCAAAGCTCTAGAGTGAATCTAACTGGCCCTGGGAGGTGGCTAAGTTCTGTTCAAGTCCCTGGAGAAGCCCACAATAGCAGAGCAGACCTAACCACAACTAACCCTCTCTGAGACCTGGCAGTCCATCCTCACAGGCAATTTACCAATATATCATGGGCACACATACCATGGCCAGAAAGAGCAGGAAGACCACCAACAGATGGTAAATGAATGCTAGGTGTACCAGCACCAGCAGTGAGCCAGAGACAGACAGAAAGGTTTCATCTGAAAGGGATTTCAAGGTAGCCATAGGGCAGACAGATTAGCAGAGTAGGGACAGGGAACAAGTTAGAACTTTAATTAGCTGGGGGGGGTAATTAAAGGGACAGAATTAGGGAGAGCTAGAGTAGTCAGACATGAAAGGGAAGGGTACCCCATATAGAGAGCCTTAGGAGGCTGGGAGGAACATCTAATAGAACATATGGGAATAGGGAGGGACAGCATGAGTTGAGTGAGTTGGTGGACGAGGTGAAAAGTATGTGTGCCCTAGCAACTACACCTGCCCTAGGAGATGAATTTTAGGCATATATTGAATGCTTCCATACCTAATAGCTGCACTGTAGCTTCAAGTCTAGAGGTGATTCCTGGAGAAAGGGCTCATCTTGGCCAGCCTCTGTGACCTCCTGGATTGCAGTCCTGGTTGCTACTCCAGATGTGCCATATCTCTGTACCTGTGTAAGTCAGCACTGCCCTGACCATCCTGGCCCTAGCCTCCTTTCAAGCAAGTGGCTGAACAGACTATTCAAATCAGCCAGACTATAGCCTCTAGGACACTTAAATAGTTCTTGGAAGCCATTGTTGCTATCCCAGCACAGGCACCCACACAGACATATGTGGTAATTATTAGGGTGCAGTTCCTGGGCATTCTGAGCTTCATGGATGGTTTCTGTATGCTTGTCACCAGTCCTGAAAGGATGTTCATCCATACATTGGCCAGCAGTTTTATGTATGTGCTGAACATGATACCTCTCTGCAACACCTACATGGAGATCACGGACATGGCCATACAATACTTATTGCATTCCATATGCAACCTTTTCCCAAAAATGAACCTCTTAAAATGGGGAAGCTGATTTTCTTCCCAGAATAAACACCCCACTTTCACAGCCTTTTAAAAGCTCACAGCCCTGGTTGTGGTAAAAGCTGGTAAAAGCTTTTACCTGGTTGCTGGTAAAAGCTAAACCACTTTTAGCTCTTACCAGAATCACAGATCTGTCCATGGAGACCAGTGTTCAGCAACAGCTAGTTTCAGCTCTTGACTAAGCAGGAAGGGGAGGGTGAGCCAGTTGAATAGATTTTGGCCTTGCTCTATGCAGCCATAATTCTGGAAAGAATTTTTTTTTTCATTTTGCCTTCCCAAAAACAAGGTGCTCATCTCATCTGGAGGTATCTGGCATACAAGAAACCAGCAGTGTGGTCTCTACAAGTGCCTTCATCATGGAGATTCCCTCAGGACTGGCTACTTTTCCTGCAACGCTTGCCTTTCCCCCCAGCCCAGGGTTTGCCCAGATACAAGTGGCAAGTCTGCTGCACAGCAGACAACTTTTGGAGGCCAGGACATACAATCCTAGGGACACAAACCCTGCCCTGATGCCATGGATACAGACAATCCTGCACCATCCCAGGATGAGGTGGATGTTCCCAGCCACTTGGCAGTGGTGGGGCTCTTAGGGCTGGAGGACTCACGGTTCAAGGATGGCTTTTCTCAGTTTGGCAAGGCATGCTTCTCAGAGGCAGAAAGGGGATTCCCAGATATCTTGTCTCTAGCACCCATCAGGCACTAGGTGTTGTGGGAGAGAATGATAGAGAATGTCATGCTGTAGAACAGATGAAAAGTTAATTGGTTATTTGTCTGTTTTCCAGCAGGTCAGCTACAGGATTTCCTATCTTAGGGATTCCTGGAGAAGTCTGTGATCAAGGCTATGCAAATCCAGCAACATGTTTGACTTGCTTTCTTGGAAAGCAGAGATGTGCATAATGTTATGGTGTCCCAAGATCATTCTTTCATGCTTAAGGAGGCTGCATTCTGTGCATACTCACATCTGGCCTCTACCCCTTGTGTGTCACATCAGTGTTTCACTCACTCATTACAGTATGGGTAAAGGTCCCTTGGCCCAATTCCTGAAGATATGCAAGAAACAATCCCCTGAAAATCTAGTCCGAAGATATGCAAGAAACAATCCCCTGAAAATCTAGTCCGAAGTGCCCTCTCTGATGCGATACTAGCCTCTTCAAGAAAACCTTAATCAGGAAATTCATCCTTTCAGAAGGTAGAGCAAGTCCTTGTGCTTTCATTGAGGTATCTCCTATGGGTGTCTTGGAACTACTTCTGAATATAAGCACTGTTCTGTGAGGTCCATCAGTATGTGGATGTCTGTCCTATTTGAGATTTAAGGCTCAGTGCTTCTCTCACCTGCTAGTAGTTCAATGGGATAGGAGACATCCTGCCTGGGCCCATTCTGTTTACAGAGCAGTTTGGTATATGTGTGAATTAATAATGCTGAATTAATTCTTCATTAATAGTATGGGGAACCTAGCTGCCTAACGTGGTCTGTTTAAATCAACTTCTTTCCCAGGCATGCAAGAGTTAGTCAAGCTACCCAAATCAAGGCTCCTATGGAAATAATTTGTAACTGGCCCAGAAGGTCTGCATCTTGGTACTGAATGAGTATTATTAAACATAACATTACAAGCATAAATATATCTAAAGTGGCCACTAATTGCAGTCTGAATTAAGGTATGAAGGAATAAGTAGTCATGGAAACTAAACTGGAGAGATTTCCTACACTACAAGAGAGGCAGATTAATTGGGCGGTGTGGAAAAAAAATTCTGAAAATTTTTTCCTGTACCTGTGGAGGCCTCCAATGTGGCCAGTCTAACCTAATCAACCTTTTACAAACACCAGGTGCTCTTATTTTTGTTTAAACTGTGATTCTGCCCATTAATTTGTGAATGAAAGCCTAATGTGATGTGACATGCTGCAGACAGAAGTAGATGATTAATGTCCTGATTTCCAAAAATGTTTCTACTGAAATCTGGCTCAAGTGTTCTTATTAGAAACACTTCCAAAAAGAAAATAGTGCAAAATTAAAAATGTTATTTCCTATGCAATAAAATGTATAGGGAAACAGGTTGATTATAATCCAGTCCTTTATTATACATTTTCTTAATAATATATTTGTATCTGGGGCATGCACAATAAACACTGCCACAATTATATTCACTACAGAATTACAATGAAAAGTCATCTGAAACCCAGGCTTCTTGGCTTTTTTGAACTGTGTTTAATCTTGTTGAAACCTTATTTAAGATGAAAACTGATTTTCCTTGATTTGTTAGACTTTGCACAATATTCCACATCCAAAAGTTAACACACAAAATTGGCACAAATGGCAATCTTTGCTCAAAAATTATGTTACACAAAGAAGGATGTCACTGGTGAATAAAATAGCAAATCTGTGCTGATTCATGTCTTGTAGGGAATAAGAAAATTCCTTTTCTAGCAATACAACATGGTTGATCTTAAGAAACAAAGATATCATAATCAAAAATCAAATCCTTATATTTCTAAAGTTTACTCAGTGTTGCTAAGGGAACGAAAGTGATGGCTTCTTCCTCTATGGAGGATCATCATGCTTCAATTTATAGGAATCATATATGATCCAGGAATGTCGAGTCATAAAAATTAAGGAAATTCAGAAGTAAAGCTAAAATTCTATCCTTAAAATGTTGCACTAGGTATTGAGTCCTGTACAGAACTTCATATGAAACATGGCTATAAAATTCTCAACCGCAGTGGGTGAAATCAAGGGCAGAGTTCCACCTTATATCTGAATTTCACTGTTAAAAGTTCAGTCAGATTCACAAAACCAAGTTTGAAATTATATTCCTGTTGTTTATATTTTAGATTCTTGTTTTAAGGAAAGCATTTGTTTGTTACTAACCCCCTAGATATATAGTTAATCAATACTCATTCATAATTCTTTTCTGTCTAGACTAATGGCTCTGGAACTTGGGAAAAGAGTATACGTACACACACATACTTGGAATAGAATACTGTATGACTGAGACAATGGAGTTCTTAATGTAATAGGTACACTCCCAATGCTATCAGTGTGTAGCGTGAAGGTGTTAATTAGTTTTAGCATAAACCTATATTAATATAACCAATATAACACAAAGTTGCTGATTTTCAAATGTTAACACGACAAAAGAATACTACCTGTGAAAGGCTCTAGAGTAAACATCTTGAAGAAAAAGGCCCCTATACATGCACAGAGCAGTTACAAGATAGGCAGGATCAATTTCCTATACTTGAATGTCAGCATCCCCCAACCCTAACTCTAAAGGCATGACCTCTGAAGGCAAGAGGGTACTTCGTCTTCCATAGGCAAGTTCAGTCCTTGGGCATTCTGGAGATTGCTATTAATGCCAAATAGTAAAAATTGTTAGCATCATTTTTATACGGCTTCTTCTTTACAGGGAAGGGAACTTGGCATACCTGGCCATTCACAGGTGTGATGCTGTTGTATCCTTACTTCTCAGAGTTGGCGATTGTTTATACAGAAAAAGGAAAGCATAAAAGAACAAGCCCTTGCAACTTTGAGGTGCAAGTATACCATCATATGTCCCTTCCCCAGTTTTAGGATCAGGATGGTACAGATGGTCACTACCAACCTAGACTTAATCTGGATTTACAATTCCTTGGTGAAAGCGTCACCTTTCCACAGAGAATCCCTTGAGCTATCTACTTCTCTACATTTCTTTAACCCATGTACTAAGAAAAACAAAAAGCAAAACCCCAAATATAACACCACATCAACTTGATTTGCACTTCTAATGCTTCCATTTTCCTCTTTAGTTATGGACCTGTTGAAATACAGGAAAGCAGCTTTTAATCTTTAGATTCCACATCTGCCAATCAAGTTTCAAAAAAGGAAAAGAAAACTCAGAACTGTGTCACTTCAACAAAGAATCATTAAAAAAAATTATTAAAGCACATCTCATAAACATTTGGGAACCATGCCACTTCTGCATTAGAACTTATTCTAAACAAAATAGAAAGAGACAAGAAAGGAAGAGGAACACAGGAGAGGGAAAACTGAGTTTGAGTTCTTAAGCAAAGCAGTTTGACTCACATGTGCATGCATAAGTTAAAATGGACATCTAGTTCCCTCTTAAAATGTATAAACTGGGCATATGGTCAACATGTCCAGAATAAAGCAATAATGAATGCTGACTATAAGTACATTAAATTAAAAAGCTGCTGACAAATAGGTAGCTAAATATACATAAAGTATACACATATTGCCACTTCTTATCGTCGAGTAAGTTATTCTTTTTAACAAACCTTTAATATTAAACTGATTGCAGAGATAAATGGTCTCCTCTCATGAAATGCTGTTTCAGGGAAGAGTTTTATGGAAATATATTCAGAGTAGGCAAAGATGATTAATCACTAGAAAAACTTTGATCAGCAGACTGACAAACTGTACCATCCTGTAAGAATACTTTGCATGTTAAACAGGTATTAGTTCAGATGTTATAGTAAATTTTAACTCAAGGCTGCTGTAAAACCATATATCTTTCTATGTTAAAGAATCAAAAAACAAGTGCAACAACTGATGCATCACTTTTTCATTTTTGTTTAATTTAGTAATAGTAGAATTAAATGGTTTCAAAGCAAGCTCTACATTATTTCAAAACGCAATCATATATTTAACATAATTCTGAAGAAAAAAACCTCTTCACCGCATTAAACATACACACAAATCAATTTTAAAACTGTACATGTTATTTTTTTTAGGAAGCAACCTAAAGAACTGTACCACAGGAATTAAGAATACTTTCTGTATTCTGACACACCACAAATTATAATTCATTTGTTGATTGTTACAGGGTTTCAGGACACAAAACTTCATGCAATAATATCTGGAAGAAAATGAAAAATAAACGGAAAGAAATGGATATATCCAGTGCTAAATGAAACCACTGAATTCTTTAAATAAAACAAATGCCATTTTTATCAGTCAAAAACATTTATTGTCTTTCAACTAAATGGGCCTCAATTACTTTGTCTCTTGGAGACAACTCTCTTGAGAGCCTCCCCATTTCCTATCTATTAAAACCCAGTATATTTAATTTCTTATTGGTTTCTACAAAGATGGCTCAAGGCAGGTGTGTCCTTGTGGCTTCTGAATCAGAAAGTGCATCTTCTTGAATAGAAGGTTCATAATCGCCTGCATTATCAGCCAATTCAACATCTTGCTCATCATTACTCTCAGCACTGTAATCAACTTCTTCAAGGAAGCGAGGCTCATCTTCATCCAGAACATATGTAGTTGGGCTGTATAGAAACACCACACAGAGTTACATTAATCATTTTAAAGGGTTTATTATGTTCAGCTATACTCAATTAGACCATTGTACCTTCTCTACCTGAAACTAAAATAATTTACAATGATACTTATAACATGAGAGAAGCAGGATAGCTGGAACATAATGAGAGTTACTTTAACCAAATAAAGGCTTAAAATAGCATTTTTATGGCTGCCAAAATGATTTAGTCAGTATATAAGGTGCAAATCTACCGTGCCCTCTGCCTGACTTCAGACTAATACAGCTAACTACTACTCTCTACTAAATTAATGACATGTATGTAAATATATAACATAAACATTTGTGTATATACACACACATATAAATTGCATATCAAACATACACAATAAAAAGATGTCACTGAATTGCTTTATAAGAAAGGTATTTATGTAAAATATATTCTACAAAAGCATTTAAAATGGCCTCTCTCTATAATCATTAGGAAATGTTGTCTATCCCCTTCTGAATTTACAATCTTAAACAATCCTCACAACTGAGCATTCAAACAGGAAATGCTTTTTAAAAAACAAATCACATAAAAATATTAGTGCAACCCAAAATTCTTAACAAGCATTTTAACTGGTTTGTAAATGAATACAGAAGTGCTCAAAATAGGGAATTAAGCTTTCTGCTTCACATGAAATTATCACAGTTATCTGCAGATTTGACAAGACTGACTTCTCTTTTTTTTTTTCTTTCCACAGATTCATATTCAAATCTCAAGCTAAATCCTGCAGCTCTGAGGTACCATAACTTTAAGGACCTGGGTAAGTCACTGTGGAATGTGCTACGTGGTTTCTTCCACAACATACTAAAACAATTTCTTCACATATTTGGAAGTTATTACCTTTTATTAGGGCAACTCAAGAAAGCTCAAAATATGCCTATTTAGTTTCTTGGGATGAGAAGGGAATGAAAAGAAAAGAAAAGAAAAAAACAAAGAAAACAAGGGAATTTTCTATGCCTAGTTCAATTACTCTCCTTTGGGAACCAGGATAAAGCTATTTGCTTGAAAGCCCTAAGTGCTTCTAAATATTTCATAAGTAGCTTTGAATTCAGATGAGGTCTCAAGAAGGGTCTGCAATTTATCCATTTTAATTCATAATCAAATTATACAGATTCCACATTAGCTTTGCCAAATGTTTCTACAATGGATGAGAAGGGACAAAGGAATTTATACAATAACCAGAAACAACTACAATTCATAACAAAAACAGAAACATATATGATGCCCTGATTTATTGTGTTAGGACTGAACATTTGAATACATCTGAATTTTAACAATTATTTAAAGAGTGGTATACTATCTTGCCACATTTTGGCAGATAAAAGGTCCATTACTGTTTCCATCTAAAGCTTTTTAAGCTCTATTAAATGGACTGTTTTCATCTTCAGTGAACTGAAATTTGATGCAAATATTTTTAAAGAAGTTTTTCTCCATAACTTTAACCTCAGTCAAATTTCATGGTGTGGTGTTTTCCTTTTTTGGAAGCAGGACAAAAAAAATCTGAAATTGTTCTAAAAAATCTGAGCCTTCTAGCTGAGAAAAGAATCCATGACAAGACTGCACTGAACATCAAAGATCTAACAGGCATACAAAGAATTAAACTGACATTAAAAAAAAAGAATTGGTGACTATGTCCTTTTCTCTTACAGTTACTCCTTATCAGAGATCAAAAGCCTGCTGATGCTTATTAAATATATGAAAAAGAAATGTAGCACAAAGCTAAATATTTCTAATGACGATTATTTAAATTTTAGAAGCACATACCAGAACCAAGGCTACATGTTGAACTCTGGTGTTTCTTCCCCCATGCTGGTGTCTCTTTCCCAACTAGTTCAAATTTCAAAAACTTAAGCAATATGAAAGGTTGGGGAGAGGGATTTAATCAGTACTTTGACAAAAAACTTACAGAAAAAGAAAACCATTGGTTCTACCATTTTCCATATGTGGAACAGAGGACACTTTATACAAACACTCACTTAACAAGGTATGTCCACTTCATCAGCAGGGAAACTGAGGTATGCTCAGGTTAAAAAAATTGCACAACATTGTACAGATTACCTATAGCACAGAAAGTAATGAGAGATGCAGAGACTGGCTCCCTACCCTGTGATTTCACCCTGGAAATGTACTTCCTCCCTTAGACAGTTACTGCAAACCAACACTTCATTTAAAGGAAAAAAGTTTAAATTTTCATTTATTTCTTTGTAAAATGACACCCCAACAATGAACCACTCTAAAACACATCACATCCCCATAAATGCATAGCTTATTCTGGGACTTCTGCTTCTAATCACTTAACAGATATTGATTTGCTAGGTTTCACAGGCAGGGAGTTCACACTGAAATTGCAGGGTATTTATGTAACTCAATTCACAGGAAATAGAGCCATTAAATCTGAATGCGGCCCTAAGAGTTCTGAACAGAGTTTAACAAAACTAAAGCTAAGTGTGAATGGCAGATATTTTACCAGTCACTGACAATGTATATAAAAGACGTATTATAGTAGACTTATAAAATTCATCTTCTGAGTAGAGCATAACTTAAAAGAACAGAGAAGATCGTGGCATCTTCTGCAAGAGGTACTTGTAATCGCTTGGGTTTTACACAAACACACCCAGAACATGAACACACTAAAATGGAAACATATAGAATGAGACATTATTTTTAGCAAGCCCCTTTGCTTCTGAGAGGTTAAATTCTATTTGCTACATCAACGTGTCCCATTCTACATTCTGGACTCTGTGCTGCAATGTACCCAAAACATATAAAACTATTACTATTTTAACTCAGTCTTGGGTCATTCAACAACACGTGTTAAGAGCAAATTAATGTTCTCATGTTGCATCAGCAAAAGCAGCAAGGAACACAATTAAAGTGTGCTAAGCAGTAGTGTAACTCACTGAGCAAGTGGGACACCAGTCCCAAGTGCTGATTTATAGGTGGACCACTGCTGCTGCAGCCTGACCACCACAGCTTTCCAGGACAGAACAGGTGCTGGTTACATTCTGGTGCCAAGCTTTTAACTGAATATATTTTAAAACTCTGGTTAGAATAGTGCTGTAAGAGACCTGCTAGACTTTTCCAACTACAAATGTTGGGTCAGAAATATAAAAGTAGTTTCATCTTCGGTGGAATTTCTGTCGTTTCATACAACACCACTATAAGTATAATAATTAGCTCTCTATTCAAGAGCAGCTCACTTCCAGAAGTGAAAATGTATAGGTCAAAATTAGCAAAGCTATATAATACTTGTCCCTATAGTGCTCACCTCTGAAATCTCTTTCATTTGGATAATTTTTACTTTTTACCATTCTTCATGACACCTACTGTGCTACTGCCCATTCTAATATTTAATTTCAGTAGAAACTGAATATGCTTATTTAGCTCACTCTTTAGCTACTTTAATTTTTTCTGCACTTATTACAGTGGTATCTGACAACCTCCCACACTTAGCAGCCATCCTGGTGCCAGTTGCCTTTTTCATGGGGATAACTTTTTTGACTTAGTTAATTTATCATTTTTGAATATTTGTTTTCTTAATGCCTTAGCCTGCTAAATTTTAGCCTTTGAAATCTATATTTTACAATCTACCTGACAACACTTAGCTATTATTCCACTGTTTTCACTTGGGTTGGATTTCTACCTCTTCCAAACCCTTAAACCTTAAATATTTTATCTTTTTATCCCTCCCACCCCTTTATTGCAGATCTTGTGACTCATTGCATTTTTAGCTGCCTTTCCACCAATTCTATGGATTATAATTTCCTAATTTTTCTCGTGGGCTGCTTCTAATTAACTTACATAATATTTCCTCCTCCATCCCTAAAACTCTTGTTTAAAGACCAGCTTGTAGTTATATAGTCAAGACTGATGGGTTGTCACACTATAACAGTTTGTAACAGATTTCACTGTGTGTACGATTTCTTTAGAGCCATGGCTGTTCCACAGATCTCTGCAAAACATCTTAAATTTCTATATATTTTACTTAAATTATTTTTTTTCCTTCATGGGAACAAAGAATCTTTGAAGTATGAACTGAATATAACTGATTTTTGTAAAATGTCATGTTTGCTATGAATTTTACTTGAATGAATGTTTTAGTACATTTAAAAATTAATCTTCGCAACAAAAATTGCCATTTAATTTTTCTAGCAAAAATCGCTGTGTTTGCTACAACAAAGCCACCTTTAATGCCTTGACAAAACATCAGCTTTTTCACTATACACATGCTTTAGTTACAAGGACAGTCCATCTTTAAAGCAAGCAGCAACCAATCCTATTGACGTTAGTTCCACAGCAAGCAACAATTTTCTATAATGACTAGTAAAACATTTTTATATAGGCATATTCATTCACTGCTTCACAAGAAGAAATTGAGAGAGACTCTCTGCCAACAGACTGGAAAAGTTACAGCTGAACAGGGAATTAGGGAAGGAGAGAAATAATATCTTTAGAATCAATGGCATCTGTGACAGCAGTGTTGCCAAGGGAGTGGAAATGGAGGGAGAAGAGTCATGTAAAGGACAGGAGTGTAACTGGCCATGACAATTTCCTGGGCAGTCCCCTGTCATCCCTCACTTTGCACTTTTCTTGCTGCTAGAGCAGAGGACAGAAGTGGGAGGCACCCCATACCCTCTCAGTACCTGGTACTCATGGCCTGCTCACCCTCCCCATTCTTAACCTATTGGTGAAGAAACCAACTCTCAGTAAGTTTGTCCTCAATTCCTTGGCATTTTGCAGGAGATCTCTGGATGTCCAAGATCTTGTTGGGCCATGTCCCTTCTAGGGGTTAGTAAACCCTTCCTCACAGACAATGTCATTTATGGAACTTAAGTCACAAGTACTCAAGGGGTCATCAAAGAGACCCTCCTTCCCTCCCATGCTTTTTCATGGTAGGAACAACAGAGGCTGGAAACATTTTAAAAAGTCAGGGAAAAAAATCTCTCATCATAACCATCAAA